GTGAGGTGGTGCAGGCTCCCACCCTGGGGGTTTTTAAGAGGAGGTTGGATGACCACCTTACTGGGGTCATTTGACCCCAGTGCTCTTCCTGCCATGGCAGGGGGTCAGACTAGATGATCTGCTCAGGTCCCTTCCGACCCTAGAAACTATGAAACTATCTTACCTACACTGTCTTGAGCTCATGCTCTTTTTCTAAGTCTCTAAGGTGGTTTCTTCATGTGTAAAACACTTATGTAGTTGGTTTAGTGTAAATCAGAAGTCTACCTGTGATTAGTGGCCCTTTGGGTTATCTTGATTAGAACACACCAATTTCTTAAGACAGTGGAGTAGTTAGCTTAACACTAGGGTGCCCAGTCCAAGTGACCAGGTATTTATTTACAGCTGGGTTGACAGGGGCAATCTGAGCAAGGCTCCAACTCGGGCCTTTGGAACCTTAACCGCTCCATTTAGTTTAGTGTAAAGAGATAGCGTTACTTAACAAAAAATCCGGAAAATCTGACTTGATTGTGAAGTGCTACAGTACTTCCCCTGACAATTCCATTACAATGTAGACAGCGTTAGACTTGAAACATTGTCAGTCTTGTGAGGCAGTTATGTCATCAAGTAATGAGCATACTAAATAACAGATTTGTCTCAGGAAAGGACATGTGAAAGAAATACAGGATTTGTAAATGCCTTGCAAATTTGCAAGTCTACTCGCTGTATTATCTTTATCCTGCAAGTCTGTTGTTGTCATAGAAGGACATTAAATCAGTCTGACATAATTGTCCTCTTAACCCCATGTTATATGTGGTCTCAGTTTTCATTTCCTTCCATCTCTTGAACTATTCTTTAGTGTATCTCCTTTAGCACTTGGCATGCTATTGAAGTCAAGGTCTATTAATATCTAGGTCAGCCTCTTTTTTTTAAAAAGAGATATTATATGTGTTTTCTAGTCATAGGGTACTCTTCCCAAGTTGTCAGAAATATTCTTCCTCTTTCTCTGAGGGACATATGTTTGTATTACAAGCTTAAGAGAATGCATCCTTTCTCCTTCTCATTGTCTTCATTTCTTTCCAGACCAAGGTCATTAATCCCACTGCACCCGTAAAAGAAAATCAGTACTAGTCCAAGTATTGAGACATGTCTCTAATTTTGGATTTACCTGAGGACTTGAAACTCCTAGATTATCGGTTTCCGATGCATATTTTATCATTGGTTTCTGTCATCTGTAATACTAGAATTATCTTTCCTGCGTCCATGGTGATGTTTGTAGGATTTTAAGAACTGATTCAAGATAACCCCCACTCATTTAGGCAACTTACAATAAGCCACATTAGGGAAGGTGACTTTGCCTATTTGTGGAGCTCTCCTAGATCCTAATAAAAACTGCTTTGACAAACCTTGTCTATCTCAGCTGCTACAATGAAAAGAGTGGATGGGAAAGAGCCATTCACAGGAATTTAAGCAGGTCTTCTATTCTGTTTCAGGTTTCTTTTTGCTCCCAACAAAATCTCAAAGTACAGATGAACCCACATACTGGGGATGAGAAGAGGGAGGCTGTGATGCCTTGTTGTAAAATAAGATGTTAATTGGGTGGGAGGCTGCCCTCTGAGCATGCTGCTGTTCATGGGCAGTAAACACACAACTCTGACCTCCCCTTATTTTGTCCCATGCCTCACAGATGACTTCCGTGAGTTGTACTATGCTCCGGCTTGAAGCCGGGCCCAACTCAGCACATTGTTAGGCTTCTGTCACGCTGCCCTGTTGTGGGCCTCACACATACAACCCCCCTCTCACTGGAGCCTCTATCATTCTGCCTGCTGTCACCAGGCCTCTCACACTCTTGCCCTTTACAGGGCCTCATACACCCCACCCTGCTCCCTTGAGTGACCATGTGGGCCATCAGGCTTGTCCCTTCACTCCTTGGGCAGCCTTTTGGGCCTTTCCCACAGCCCTGATCTGCACGGTGGCTGGGCTGTTAGCCAAACACTGGGCTAACTCCACCCTTGGCCCCTCATCGGGTAATACAGCCCACTTGTTCTCAATTTGAGACTAGTGGCTTTCCCCTTTTACTCATGGCTCCCCCTCTGCTGTCTGTCTCTGCCTCAGGTCCCCTTGTGGCCTCTGGCACCCAAAGGCTTACCTGGGCCTCCCTGTCCCTTTCCTCATGGGACCTCAGTGCACTTGATCCCCTCTCTGGGGCTCAGGTGCCTTCCAGGGGTGTGCCTGGCCCCACTACTCCCTGGGGTCCTACACCCCTATGGGCTCAGGTGCCACCCATGTTTGCCTGGCCCCACTACCCACTCTGGGCTCAGGTGACCCTCCCTGGGCATGCCTGGCTCTACTCCCCTCTGATCTTGTTATAACCCACCAGACTGATGGAGGCTGGGATTTTAAGGTGCCCCTCCTCGCCTTTCACCAGGGAGGTAACTGGCCTGGCATTTCTTGAGGACTCCCTCACCACAGGGAGTCCCACCAGGCCTCTGTTCCCCAGGAGGGTGCAGTTTTTAGTCATACCCAGGACCAGGGGCCTCCTGTCATCCCCAATAGCTCCTGCCCTTAGCTCCAAGATGTTCCTTGAGCATCAGTGCTGCCAGATGTTGTCGTTCCCATGGCTGCTGGCAGCAAACTGCTACCCCAGCCCTGAGCGCCAGGATCTTAAAATGGCCACCCCATCAGGGTGGCTTGCACCTGTTTTGCTGCCTGCTCTCCTCCTTCAAGTGGCAGACATGAAAGGTGCTCAGCCACCCACCTTCCCTCTTCAGATGGTTCCTGGTGGAGGCTTTTCCCTGCTGCTCACAAAGCAAGCTCACTCAGAGTCTGCAACAAGCCTTAAGTGGCAAGCATCCCGCTAGTACTCTGCCACAGAGTGAAAACACCCCTGGAAGGCAGGCAGATGTGAATACTATTGTATGAGAAGAAATGCACACTTCATATAAATGTTGTAGAGCTGAGTGCACATGCCACTCATTTCTGCTTTACATTGGGAACTTGATAATACAAATTCTTTCAGGCACTGTGAAGGGCATGTTTTGTTTCAGTAGGCAAGGTCATGCCATACTCATACTGTTATGACGAGAGGCTTTGCAGTTTGGGATTCTTCTGGAACACCCTTAGTCTGCACTACCTGTTTTCCAAGGGTACACAGTGACTTTTCAGGCTGTCTCAGGGGTGAATCTTTGAAAATCAAGATCACTCTTTGAAAACCGATTAACATTCTACAAATAGGATTATCGCAACATTGACCTGTTTGTGACTAAAGACAGAATGCCCAAGTTTTTTTCTCTGGGATGGTCAAAGCCTAGACTCTTTTACAGCTGTGTTTCTTTTCCACTGGGACTTGGGGTTACTCCTACACATGTCTAGCAGTCCATTTAACCAAAGGACCTTCCCAACCATATCCTGATGGCTGAAAATTGTCCAAGGCAATATTGGTTTTTCTTGCTTCCAGATGTTGTAAGTATTTAACATGGGTGAACAGAGATATGATTGAGGTGTGGTGCCAAGCTGTAGCCTGTGCCCCAACCCCCATCTCTCATCTTTTATGTAGCTGACTGTCTTCATCTTGCAACTTGGACTTTGAATAGCTCATTGTTTTCACAAATTTTCACAAGTTTATGTTCATATTAATAACGGTAGAAAGGACTCTACTGGAACCACTTGTCTGGCTAAATTAAAAGCAGTTTCAATTCAGCGGTTTTGATGACACACTGCTGCTCTTTAGGCATCACTTCAGGCGTTTTAGATTATCGACTTCAGTTGAAAGAAATAGGGCTTTCGATTATTTCCAGCAAGTTGCACTTGGGCAGCCATGTCAGCATTGCAGTGTAAGAACACTATGCACTTCACATTTACAAGATTATTTTTTTTAAGGACCTGGTAAGAGGTTTTTCTCTGTTACAAGGGTTCTGGTTTCTTTAGTGACTTTAAACCTGGTAATGACACTTGTGGGGACACTTGTGACACTTATGGGGCTTTCTTTCTCACCAGTGGTTATTTGTCTGTCCCTTCTTATACTCATCTGCCTAACTGGCCTTTCTAATTGGTGTAATAAGAAGCAGAATAGGGGGACTCTTAAGATATACCATGTGTGCACTTTACAAAGTTGAGGTCTTCTTTAAGACCTCGCTCCATGTACATGTCCAAAGTGATATCAGAATTGTCTATTTCTGACAGGTCACTTAGTAATTTTTTCCCCAGGCCCACATCCATAAAGATAGAGAAGTTATTTAATTTCCCTTATGTGCAAGGTAACTAGAAAAGACTATGACATTTCCATCCCTGAGCTTCCTTGGCTGGAGGCAGGAGGACAACCAGACTCAGTACAGAAAGCTTGAGGCTGACTAGATTAAATCTTTGCAGATTTCTCTAAACTGCATAGATTGAACTGATAAGCAAGTGAACTGATGTTCATTTTTCAAACAAGAAAGGCAGCCAGACTCCTGCAGTGGCCCATACCAGTAGCCGGGGGGGTGCTAGAACGTGCCTCCCAGCCTGCTGGTCAGGGCAGATTGCTGGGAGCCACAAGATTCCCCTAGTCACTCCCTGGCCTCAGCCTCTGGGCTGGCTGAGGAAGGGGTGGGGGGGGAAAACCCACCCCTCTGGCCTGGCACTGGATCTTCAGATGGAAGCAGCCCAATGGATGGGAAGCCCAAACTGGGGGCTTTCCTCTGCCTGCCAGGAGCGGGGGCTGGAGCTATTTCCCCTCCGTCTCTGCGCTGGCTGGGGGAGTGGGGGGCAGGAGAAGCCCGCACTGGGGCCTGGTTCTGCTTCCCAGAGCCTGGAGCTGGGAGCAGGACTGGAGTGCCCCAGACACACTTTCCTCCTCGGTGTCTGGGTTGGAGACTGGTGGCTGGGGAACTCTAGTCCTGCTCCTGGCTCCCACCTCTGCTGGGAGGCAGAGACAAGCCCCCCCCACCCCTCAGCAGGGCTGGAGACTGAGGAGGAGGGTGTGGTCAGGGGATTCCAGCCCTTATGCTGGCTCCAGGTTCTGGGGGTGGAGCTAAGCCCTTTCTCCCTGCCGCAGCCCTCCCTTCCCTGCACCAGCCTGCATCCAGCTGGGAGTCTGTTGCTGGGCCAGGGGGGTGGGTTTTCCTCCCCAACCCTCTCCTCAGCCAGCCAGAGGAGTGCTAGTGCTCTGGTTATGGAGCAGAGGGGTAGGGCAGACCCTGTTCTGCTGGAGCAGACAGAACAGCCCAGGGCTGCCAAGCAGCCTGGGATGCTGGGGGACTGAGTTAACTTGAACCAGGAAGGGACCTGGGAGAAAAGTTCCATAAATCAGTTTGATTAAAATCAGTTAAACCTGGCTGTCTTAAACAAGGTTTGGCCATTTTGAAAGTGGTTTAAGTACACTGAACTTCTGTTCTGTTACAGGTTTAAACCTATTTTTGATCACTTAAACTAGTTGTGTAACTTCTATCCTTAGCCTCTGGGTTTAGACAGAAGTCTTCTATTTGGCTGGGCTGGACACACCTGTTTGTGTGTGTGTGTGTGTGTGTGTGTGTGTGTGTGTATAAATTATAGATGCACAACATATTTTGAAGAATAACTCTTCTAGTAGAGAGAAATAATTGTTTATTTTAAATGTTTATGCAATGTAATGTTTTTATCTTTTCTTGGGTAGTGTCCATCCTTATGACCACATAGTAAAAAAAAAAAAAAAGTCATGTTTTAGATGCTCTTGACCAGATCAAGCATGTATATTTTAAAATGAATTTTTTTCTTTCTCTTAGAATTCAGTTGTTGGTGGATTTGTATCACATTACCTTCTGGAGAAATCCAGGATCTGCGTGCAAGGCAAGGAAGAGAGGAATTACCATATTTTTTATAGGCTTTGTGCAGGTGCTCCAGAAGATATTAGACAAAAACTGTATTTAAGCTCCCCAGATAACTTTAGGGTGAGTGAGCATGATGTTTTTTTCCTCAAGAACTTGTATTTTAACACACGCAATTTTTTTACACAAATTTTATTCTTAATTTGTATTTCTCTTTAAAAATGTATTGTGTTGTTAATATCTTATGCTTGTTTTGTTCAAATTCTAAAAATAGATCATTATAGAATATTTCCTTAATTGTGTGTTAAAGCTCTCCATCACTATTTCCCATTGAAAGATTTCTCATTTTTAACTCCATGCTATTCATGTTGCAGAATTTGGGTTTTGTGAAACTTGTCCCACATCTGACATTTAGCCTTTCTTTAATTCCCACTGTTTTCGCATACTCAATTTCCCTGATTCACCTCCATCTTCTCTAACTAGAATGAATCAGTTCAGTGTCTACAATGTTCTACTCATCCCTGGTATGACATTTCCTGTGTCCTCCTTTCATCCTGTGTGCTCTATCTCTTGTACCCATGCCTGTCATTGTTTTTAAACTTGCACCTATCCACTTAATTCTTCCTCTAACCCCTTATTCCTGGAACTCCACTCCATTCTTTCTATCTCCCCCTTTCAGCTTCTGACTTTGACAGAGGCATGAAACCATTGGGCTGCAGAGGCAGTGTCAAACACTACCTGTTTAAAGAAGCCCTCCTCTCATGTTCCTCTACCTGGATCACACTGTCATGAAGGGGTTATGTATTTCTCCCATTGCTGCTGTTGTCTTCTTTCCTTTCCACTCTTGTCTACTCCTCACAACTGTATATTTCCTTACTTCACCCTCATGTTGCTATATTCCCATCTCTACCCATTGTAGTTTTAACTAATCTCTGTCATTCTCCTCATATTATCCCGTATTCACTTATAGTGACTTCAGCTTTTGAGTGGAGACCCATCAGACCCCTTCACATAACTTTCTCTTGCCCTCACCTCTCCAGCCTTGTCTCAAAACTTTAGCATCTCTCATATCATAGAGAGGCTACATGATACGAACTTCTCTCATGTCATCTCTAGCCTACATTTCAAGCTCAGCATGTCTAAAACAGAACTCTGGCCCCCTTCCCAGTTTGTCCCACATCTCTTTTGAGGACTATGGACAGTAATGTTAAAGGCTTGAGTAATGGACAAGATAATCTAGTAGTCATCTTGAACTTGGACTTCTCTCTAGGTCCTCATATCCAGGTTCTGTCCAACTTATGTGCATTCTTTCTATGTAACATCTCTTATCTGTGTAGATGTATATAAAGGGCTCCTTTTCCTCTGTACTCAGTTAAGTACTTCAGAAAATCCCAAATTAGAGTCCAGTCCTGAAGCTTTTATTGATGCATGTAGTTTTATGGATTTCACATTTGCAAGTTAAGATCCCAAACTAGGGACAGTTCTATTAATAATGAAGCAGATACTGTGAACTGGGCAATACATTTATATTTGATGAATAGATTGCTAACTAGTGTCCTGCAAACTCAAACATTGACAACCTTATAGCTAATCTGTTTTATGCACAGAGAACCCAAAACTGCATTTTTCATTATAAGGCTTAAAATTATCATTTTGCCCAAATCTTTAATATGTGTAATCACTGAAGTTTTTGATTATATAATGAAAACCATTGCATTCAAATTCATACTCTTCTGTATAGGAAATTACAGGCTGATAAAATAAATACACTTCTGCTCAACACCTATCCACAACTTTTCCCCCAGTAAGTCAGTTTTTTATTTTGGAAATCAAACCCTTTGGCATTCTAGAACAGGGTGATTCAACTAGCAGCCTGCGGTCTGCATGCAGCCCATTAGGAGTTGATTTGCAGCCCTCAGACTCCTGCCTGACCACTGCTCCCCTCTTCCCAGATCTCCAGCTTCAGCAGAAGCTAGAGTCTCTGCATTCCCCTTCTCTCTCGCCTTCAGCTTCCATTGCCTGCTCCTATCCCAGAGTAGAACAGGGCAGGGCAGCACAGCTACAGGAGCTGAGGGTGAGCCTGGAGTTGTCTAGGTGTGTGGTAGGGGATGGCACAGTGAAGTAGTGGAGAAGGGCTCCCCATGGGACCTATGGCCTGCCTGGTGCAGCCTGTGGATGTTTGGCCCCCAGCCCTTTAGGCTAGGTACAGGTGTTACACTTATCATGCATTCAGTATGTAGAAAGGGCTTTACAGCTGTAATGGAACAGGCATTCACAGCACACAACGCACTTTAAAAATGGTGGATCCCACTCTAAGTTAACCCTGGATGGATTTGGTATCAGACTAAAGCACTTTATCAAGCACTTGTACCATATCTCATCCCAAGTCAATGTAGGTAGCATTCTCCCAGCATCCCAGGAGCTCCTCACTGGGTAGCTTGCTAGCCCTGACCAGTGCTTATCTCTTCCAAGTGAGAACCAGCCCAGCCCTGCCCCACCCTGGGCTGAAACAGAGAGGAGACAGAGACAGCCTCCCCACCCTGCAATCGGGTGGGGCTGGGAGGCATGTGGCACAAAGGCTCTCTTGCCCACCCCCCAGCTGCTACTGACAGTTGCCAGCTGGCAGGGGGTGGGGTGGGGGGTGGGGGGCAGGCTTCAGAGAGTAACCCCTCTGACAGCCTCCTGGGAGGTGCATCGGAGCGCCCCCACCTGCT